AAAATATTAATTACATCATTTCAGTATTTACATAAATTTGTACAAGTGACCACTTCGGTCATACATATATATAATGACACGTTCAACTTAAATACTGTATGTTTAGTGTGTTTATGTGTATTCGTTTATGTGAATAAAATTGCAACTGTATGATTCGCTTCTTTCCATTTTGTTGTCAAGTTTACACTGTTATGGCTATTATAACTTGAGTGGAACGTGAATTCTTAAAATGCAATGTATAAATAAATATAATGCGCACTCTGCGAATCATATGATATTCAACTTCATTGACATTAATGATTGCAAATTTGCAGGGGAAAGTAATGCATTACTTGTAAACGTCGTTATCGTTACAATTATTTTTTTCCAGTAATGATTATGTTAATTTTCCTTATTTGTAACGTTAATAATTATGCAATTATTTATAACGGTAGCGAATGTAATCGTTACTTTGTACACAATACATGTGTATGAAACATGCACAAGAGAGTTTCAAAAAAAGAAAATGTTATATTTTGTTAAGTTTGATCACGTTGCAATTAATCGCAACCATCATAGCCAGTAGATCTCGTGTTGAATTAGTAAATTAGTGACCAAGATGATTGGATGCTACTCCTAAAAAAAAGTTATCAAAATTCGGTGAAAAAATAACAGAAATTGTAACGAGTCATTACTTTTTGAGTAACGATAATGATAACAAATTACTTTCCAAGGAAACAACGAAAAAGTAATGATAACAAATTATTTTTCAGAAAAAATGAACGATAACGGTTTTATAAAGTAACTTTCCCACCCTACGTATTAAAAATTTATCAATAAAAATTGTATAACTATGTAAATGCGGATGTATGAAAGTCACAAAGATACACTTCAACATTTCGATGTGAACAAACGAAAATATTGACTAGTACACTATATAATATAAAATAATTGTTATAGATGTGTACGATACAGAGAAATTAAATAAAGACCAATGTTTGTACAGAGATTTTACAATTTGGTATCATTGTACCTTCCTTATTGCACAGTGTACTTGAATATGTTCTTTAAAGATAGAATTTAATTAAAACATAAATACCGTTTCATTAGAAATTCAAGATTTTATAAAAATATATCATTCGTATTCAACATTTCACTTTAGAGCGATGTGAAGAAAACAATAGAAAATTCAAGTTTATTCAAGTTTACAAATTTTACAAGCGGCAAATTTTCGATTGTTTTTTTCATTATATTTAATTTAATAAGAATTCTTCGTATTTTTAACGATATTTGTCTGTATCTCATATTGATCGTAGGATTATTTATTACTCATATATTTCCTAATTATCAATATTATTGATAATTAGAAAATGAGTTTATTTTTTATAGCTGAACTAGTGTACTGATTTGAAATAAAACAGATATATATTTAAATTTGTCGAAAAAAAGAAAAAAGTTTCACTGAAATTCAGTGCAGCCTTAGAATAAACTGGAAGTGCCATTCAATCTGAATAATATAGCAAAAATGTTCCTAACATATGTCTGTTCTTATCTATTTAAAATCTGTTTGCGCTTGCACTAGACTAGATAATAATGGCATACAGTTGCCTAACTTTACACGCGATACACCTTTATAATAATAAAGAAATTTTCAAAATTGTAGACAATCGATGCATGCGCATCGCAATAAAATAAACAGACGAGGACAGATATATGTTAGAAAGAGCGCTAATTAGTTATGCCATTTCCAGTATATATTCCAAGAGTGCAACAATAAAAAGCAAACCTAATATACGTCGATATCGCATTATCGAGTAACACGCATAGATTGCCAAATGTAACAGATAGAATTAATTTCATACGATCCTTTTTCATAAATAACACAATTGATAAATCTCGTTAATACAATACAAAGTATCGTTACAGAATTGTCAAAGAAGATTGTTGAGAATTTTTGAAATATTGTTTAAATGATAGTATTTGAAATGCGCAAGCATTTGCACAACTCTCTCTTCCTTTACAAGTCTTGTTTAGATCTTGTTATATTTCACTATATATTAGTCGATACTACAATTCCGTAGTGATTTCGTCCTGCGGCCGAAAACCGAGAATTGTGAAATCATCGATGAGATAATCGTGAGCTGGCGACCAGTCCGACAGAATGGTGTAATTGGCCGCCTCTACGGGGCTACTCTGAAACTTCCATTGAGGATTCAAGTCGCGGTCTAGACCATCGTTGACTGCGCACTCATCGTGTAATGCACGGATGTTGTTGGTCTCCAAAGGCAGCGTGCCATTGTAACTGCGATTAAACGCAGAGATGGTCTGCAATTCTTGACAGTCACTCGTCGCCCTCGATCCTGTTCGCTTCAGATTATTTCCGTAGACGAGAGGTGTCGTTTGACCGATTGTTGAGCCGTTCGGGCTGAACTTTTCACTGCTGTAAATGCCTAAAGCACTATTTTGACCCAAACTCGAACCGAGGGGACTGCTGTCCTTTGTGTAGCCGAGGCTCGAACTCGCTGGACTGATGCTCGATTTATCACTCGCTTGGAACGTCGCGAGAGGCACGTTCGCTTGGAATGTGGTGAGATTAGTGGGGGTGCTTCTCGGTTCGTATACAGGTTGAAGTGGTGGCTGCGATGTCGTGACCGGTTGCGCCGATAACGAGGTCATTTGGACGGGGTTGCTGGTCGGCTGTTGCAGAAATGTCACGAGCTGAGCCACCTTTAAGTTATAAAAGGGTAATGAATACAGTTCGGCAATGTTTCATACACGTTTTATAAAAAAAAAAAAACAGCCTGTCGTTGAAAGAGAGAAGGGAGCTTTTACGCGGGGAATTCTCGTAATGCTATGCTTTTTGCATACAACTGGTATGTGACTCACCAAAATGCTTTAGGGACTAGCGTGAAAAAGAATTGAAAGTGTGAGATGATATTGATAGCGCTTATTTGTCGTTTTCACTTCAAATAGAAATATTTGTCATAACAATCTTACTTCTGGAGAACTGTGCCTTTTATATCTTCTCAACAATCGCTCTGCCCATGAGAATAGTCGTTGCCAATCGTCGGGCGGAAGTGGTATCTCATCGTCTCTCCTATTCACGAGAACCAGTATCCTCGCCAGGTCACGCAGCACTGGTCTGTATCAATATCAATAAAGATTAATAAGAGCTCATTAAATTTTCAATAGATTCTTTTATTAAAAAGAGAGATATTCACAAGAGATTTATTAGAGAACATATTAGCATAATTTCTATTAGAAGTGTCCAATCTTCTAGTACATTTTTCTACAATATTTTATTTAATATTTGACAAATTAATTTTTGCTACAACGACTCTCAACGGATTAACATTAGAAAAGTCTAATTTTTCTACTGTTTGTACCTGTACGCTTGAATTCCGACGGCACCATCTCCGTTATTTCCCGAGTAGTACAACTCTCTGACTTGTCTTCTAGTATCATTGAGCATAGCGAGGAAAGTATTAGCCTCTCCACGGAGCGTCGCTAGGTGTTTCAGAAATTCTCTTCTCTCTGCGCTGAAATGCACAAGAACGCTCAATGAATCACGGGTAATTAAGTGATAGAGTAAAAAGAAAATTGAAAAGAATACCTGTCTTCAAACTGCTGGGCCAGTTTCACTGCTTTCTTCTTACGTCGGTGTACGACTATCGCGCCGCAGAGGATGATGAAGATACAGATAGTTGTACCGGAGACCACCCCTACCAAAATCGCGACCTGGCTACCGGTGAGGCCGAACATGTAGCCGGTCTCTCGACAGACACGACCCATGTATTCGTCCCGGGTGGACCAGTCGGCGACGAAGCCTGATGGGCAGGTGTGCACACAAGTACCCTGATGTAACAATACAGCGCATCTGGCACACGTCCCGTCTCTGCACCTCCTGCATCCCGTCTCGGATTCGATACATTCTATGGCTGCTGCAATTGATAAAACGCGATTTCATTATTATCCAAAGCATTCGTTTTTTGAAAAACGTGTGTCAAAATTATTCTTTAAGAATAAAGATAGATATTAAACAAAAATATTGATCTTTTACATAAAAAATATCGTGAAAGCCATATTTTTTTTTAAATCTAGAACCTGCATCTCGAGTTTGAAATTGCTCGCATTTATCAAACTTTTTGAAGTTTTTGTTGATGTTATAACGATCGCCAAACTTAGATAAAAACTTACGCTCGATATAAACTTCGGAATCTTACTCTTCGAAAGCTGTAACGGCAAAAAGTTTGCGCTGAATTACAGCATTGGTTATAACGGAGTTGACAGTGCCTTTTAGCTTTTCCCTTACTTGCTGTCTATTCATATTATACGGTCTTAATAAATCGTTTATTATCACTTATTACAGAAAAATTTTCAAACTTGTATAACATAATTGTGAAAAATATTTGATAGATCCTTAATAGCTTATATAAATCACCAACTTAAACTTTATATTAATTACAAATATGTAATTATTATCGACAATAAATTCCTTTTAAGAGCTAAAAATCCTGTAATAACATATTTAATTTTGATTTCAATAAAATTTCTTCAATATATATATATCATAATAATGATATAATATATTAAGATATATTAAAATATAATAACTTTTTATGCAATTTTGATGAAGAAGACACACTTTTTAGTGCCCTCAAAAAAATCAATTTCGTTTTTATGCTAAAAAAAAGTAACTTTTTGTTACAGTATTGTCGTTCGTTGTCTTCGAATATCTTGGGTCGAGTATTATAATCTTCGAGTATTATAATTTTCTTCAGTCAATCGTCAAATTTAGAAAGCATAATATCATAATTCAAGCAATTACAGAAGTCATAAATAATGTATATAATACACGTTTGCAAACGTCAAAATCTTTCAGTCGGAAACTAATAGAATTTTGTACAAGTATTTAGGTAGTGCAGTTACGCACGTTATGTATGTCAGGCATTTGGGCCATTGCTTGAGGCTATGGATCACCGCGGTAAGAATGCGAGAGAGATTCACATTACTTTCCTCATATTCTAGCGGCATTTCTTCATGCGTGTACGATTTTATATTATGTACATTCGTTCTTTCTTACATCTTTGTTCTGTCTTTTTCTCATTAGAATTCTGTTATTTTTCAATAAGATTGGAAATAAGATCGTTTATGTTAAATATATTACTTTAAATACGAAGCGCCACTGTGATCTGAATGTTAAGATGTTGAACTATTATATATATTCATATAAATAGATTAATTTCAGAAATGATAATTGCATGCCGATATGATTGTCAGATTTTCAATCACGCAATCAATCTGAAATATTAATAATCCTCCCAAATTTCCCAAATTAATCTTAAAAAACTATAATAAACTTATTGCGAAAAATATTATATTGCTTCAGGAGTTGAATCTCTTGCATTCCTTGCGAGCGTCTTAAGCCTTTAGACTTAGCAAAATTCTTTGCAATAACTAATATGTATAGAGAGTTACACATTGTAGGCGAGCGTGTATAAACAATAAAATTGGAAACAAGACCATACAACATTATTTTAAATACGCCACTACGGTCTGAATGTTAAGATGTTGAACTATTCTGTTATTTTTGACAGAAATGATCCAGCAAATATCGTTTTCCAGGCATTATTTTCTAAATAACATTTATGACTATTCTTGAGAGACGCATCTCGCAGTAGCTTCAATATTTTAATACATTTTTTGACATCTTCATCACACAGCGTGAACGTATTGCGCGAGATGCTCATTTGTAATCTCGCTAACATCTTCTCCCGATTGTATGTCTAATATGAATTAATCTGACATGAATTAAATTGACCAACTTTAATAAAAATAAAAATGGACCGTTTTTACTTCGTTTATATCTGTTTGTACCGAACCCTTTGAGGTACAAACGGATACGAACAATTCTCTTTCGAATGCCAAAGGTCACTTTTCGATATCTTTTAAAGTGACCGATTTATCCCCATGTCGGATTTTCAAAAATTTGAAAAATGCTGTATATTCGAACTCTTTGTGATACAAAGGAAAATGAATACAAACGAATAAAAACGACTTCTTATTCGAATGACATAAACGAAATTAAAACATCTTATCGTTTCGCGCTGATTATTATTTTTACTTATGTTTTTACTCTTTGAGGTATACAAATGAAATAATAAACCGTTGAAACAAAGTACAAACGCGCTACGTATCCATTTTTTTTTTGTTAAAATTGTGTGCCAGGTTCACATCAATTACATCTCTCATTCCCTTTCTCTTCCTAGTTCTCTTCCTTCATGCTCTGTGTCCAGATATACATCACGCGGGGTCACTGAAGACAGCCGGATGGACAGTGAGCGAGAAAATTGAAAGACCTCGTGTGCACAAGGGGGAAACAACTATAGTGAGACGGTTTCATTAGTACGTGTATAAGGAATGCGGTTGCTAGTTTCTTGATTATATGGGTCTATAAACGCGCATGCGCGTTCCGCGCACTTCAAAACAGCATGACAGACGCCGCGACGCGACGCGACGCGACACACACATTCTCCAAGTTGAGAACACTAGGTCGGAGAGAACCGCTCGGGACTCCTTCTCTATCGTAGGCTCTATGAAAAAAAAATCGCGGAATCACTTATTTATTTTACCATCAACATCCTACGACTTCGTCGATGATTCGATGAAGAATGCTTCTGGGCATCGCCATCAGGACGCGCGATTCCCTCCGAGTTTCAACTTTCTACACGTTTTTCTCGCGCGTGATAGATGGCCAAGTTCTCAGAAAATGTGCCGGACAATTTGTCAAGGAGAGCGTCATTCAGAAAAATATCTTATAATTGTATGACAAGAAGAAATTACATTATATTATTGGATGACTCTTATTCACATTAATGATCGATTTTTATTTCATACTATCTCGATAGAAAGTACTGTTGATCATTTAATATACATATTATTTAATAGAAAGTCATGCGTGACACGTGATTTTGAAAGTTCGCTGCGAAATAGTTCAAGGCGAAAAGAAAATGGATATTTACGTTATTTAAATAATTACTTAATTAATATACATAGAAGGATTAATAATGTAATAAATAATGTAGAATTATATTTCGATGACAAGAGAAAAAATTTTAGCGAAGAAATTCATATTCTTAGAGATTATTTTTCAACATTCCAGATTTAAAATTAAAATTGCGCTACGTTTTCGTATAATTTTCAAAAATTACGTTACTTAAACCAATATACATAATATGGAGAACTTAATAATTAATGTAAGATATTTTGATAACAAAAAAATATGAAATTTATATCACAAAGAAATTTATATTTTTAGAAATTATTTCAACTTCATTTAAAATTAATTGCACTACATTCTCCCGTAATTTTTCAAATTTATTTAAACGAGCCAATAAACAAGGAAGAATTAATAATAAATGTAAAATTACAATGTTTTCGATAATAAAAATATGAAATTTATGTCGCGAAGAAATATTGTATTCGGTAATTATTGCGAAAAGGTTAAACTTTATCAATGACTTCAATTTTTACATATAATTAAAATCGATATAATCCTGAATCATGCACACTTTGAATCTGATTACAAACTCTTCTAATTTCTGAGATATATATGTGATATTGTTCATCTATATTTTAATAAAACGAAATAACGTCCTATTTTTAAAGTTGCGACTTTCCACGCAAAGGTCCACCCCATTTTTCGTCCTGGCAAGGGACGCAGGACTTTCCATGCACAAGCGAAGTCCACCCTATCTCCCCTTTTTGTCTAGGGGCGTATGATATTTCATGCAAAGCGAGGCCCACACTTAGACAAGAGAGGAAATGGTAGGAACGCTTCGCGTAGAAAGTTTTGTGCCTCTAGGCAGGAGAATAAGTGAGATGGTTTTTAATTTATATATATTGCAGAAATAAGACGTTATTTCGTTTTATTCATTATATGTAAAAAACAAAGTCAACGGTAAAATTTAATTTTTTTGCAATAATTACTTTGCATTCTTATAAATTATTTTAACTCTAGATTTTGTAAAATTAATTATGTCACATTTTTGTTTGATTTTTCAAATAGGTTTCCATCAATAAACAACTTTTCATAATCTTCTGCACGTCGAAACGCTGTTAGTGGGTTTTATACGAGTTGAGTTTTAATTAGATAAATTAAAGGTCGAGGAGAGAAGTTACTTCGAGCAGCCCACGCGATCGAATCGGCGCAATTTTCTATTTTACTGCGGATGTTTTTTTCGTCATTTATCCAGAAAACTATAAAAACTGTAAAAACTGTAAAAAAGAAAAAGAAGAAAAAAAAAAGAAAAAAAGAAGTTGGATTGGATCTCGTAGATTTGTAATATCAAGAATTTTATTAAGCGAAACATTTGTTAATTTCATAGCGAAGAATCATTTATAAAGGAACTCAGATAAGTGTAACAGCAACTACATACTCGTTTTTATTATTAATTAGTATAGTTAATTAGACCCTCTATTGTGTACTGCTGACGTACTTCTGTACTTAAAAATTCATATATCTAGAATCTTTTCCTTATTTCCTATGTTATGTAGCATGGAAACATGTGACTGTATATTGAATTATATGATCTGCTAGCATAATTCAACTTATTTCCTATGCAGCTAAGATATTTTTTCAAAATCAGTCTTATATAAGAATCTCCTATAAGATAAAATAATACAATTTCGAACATTTCTGAACAAAATAAAATTTGAATCAAATTTTCGAAGTGTAAATTTGATTTTTTTTCGTTTGGTGTCTTCAATATTTCTCATTCTCCACATGATAAGATCAGGGTTATCAAACTTGAACCTCGAAAATTGAATTATTTTATTTCGTTCGGAATTGTATCACGTTCGAAATTAT